CTGTCTATGCCATTATCTAAATCATTGATGAAGACATTGAATAGAGCTAGATGCAGGACTGATCCCTGCAGGACCCCACTTGATATGCCCTTCTCTGGAAATGGTTTTTCAATCAGTTACGCACCCATCTTATAGTAGCTCCATCTAGGCTGTATTTCCCTAGTTTGTTTATAAGACGGTCATTCGAGACAATATTAAAAGCCTTACTAAAGTCAAGATATACCACATCTACTGCTCCCTCTCTATCCACAAGGCTTGTTACCCTGTCAAAGAAAGCTGCTAGGTTGGTTTGACACAATTTGTTGCTGACTAATCCATGATGACTGTTACTTATCACTTTATTATCTTCTAGGTGTTTGCAAACTGATAGCTTAATTATTTGCTCCATTATCTTTCTGGGTTCTGAAGTTAAGCTGATAGAGGTCTAGGGACCTGAGGGTGGCCCTGTAATCTTTCAGTCCATGTAGTTTTGCATCCATCTAGTAGGACAAGAGGGAAATTCCCTCAAACGGAAGGTCCTGATTGACCTGCTTAACCTCCGGAGGCAGTCTCAAGGATTGGAGCCAGGAGTATCTTCTCATGACCACCGCTGATGCCAACCTTTTGTTAGGGCATCTAGGGCAGCCTAGAGGGAGGCCCTGGCTATGGTCTTTCTTTCCTCCACCAGACCAGAGAATTCCTGTCTGGACTCCTGGGGCAGCGAGTTCTTGAATTCTGACATGGAGTCCTATATGTTATAATCATGCCTCCCAAGCAAGTCCTGCTGGTTGAAGATGTGGGGCTGCAACCCACCAGGAGAATAAATCTTTTTACCAAACAGATTCAGCTTCTTTGAGTCCTTTGGCTTGGGGGACGCACTTGCAGCCCTTGCCTGTCTCTTTTGTTGGCCGCTCCAACCACAAGAGACCCGGGAAGGGGATGGGAATAGAAGTATTTATACCCTTTGGTGGGAACATCACACTTTTTCTCTGCTCTTTTTGAAGTAGGGGCCAGAGAAGATATGGTCTGCCACAGGGACCTGACTGGACCCATAAGGGCCTTGTTGAGGGGACAGGACCACCTTTGATGGGGCTGCTGCAAGTAAGATGTTGCTCAAGCTGCGTGAGGACTCTTCAAGCATCTGCACTTCCAGCACTAGGTTAGAAGTCACACTTTTCAATAGCTCCTGGTGAGCTCTAAAGTCATCCTACGGAACCAAGCTGCTCAGCCCCGACACAGCTTCGTCTGGGGAGGAGGAGGCGGTGATAGCAGTGGCCTGCACTGGCAGGGGGCCTTCCTCCTCCCCTTCTGCACCAACCACATCACACAGCTCCAAGTCCTGAGTATCAGTACCCGGCTCGATACCAGAGTCCAGGTCAGGTGCCGGATGGTGCAGCAGAGGGCCCCTTCTCTTGGACATCCCCCCCCCCCCCCCAAGTATGAACAGCTGGAACTCCAGGGAGTCCAAAAAGGCCATTGGACCTGCACAGACCACTTAGCCAGGTGCCTGGGAGGGCACCCGCACCAGGATCTGACGGGACATAGATCGGGTACTGGTAACGGCACCTTGGTTGGGTATACGACTTCACCTCCGACTCTGAGGACGAGTCAGTTTGGGTGGGACCGGTACCCCTTGCTTCTGCTGGCCAGTGCTGATGGTCTGGGGAACAGTGCCAGAGCGGGGAAGTCTTTGCTGACATCAGCAGAGTCAGTTTCCCTCTGGTTGGTACCAGAGGGTTCGGTGTCAGACAGGAGCTCAGGGCAACATGCTCCCTTCTGCTCAATGATCTCACCGGTGCCAGAACTTGCCCTGCCAGTACTGGGACAGCAATCAAGTCCCTGACCGCTGCAAATGCCTTCAGGGTGGATGACACCACAACCCCACTGGCGCTACAATGTCCCCCCGGGTGTCAGTGGATGGTCTTACACTGGACTCAATGGCACCTGCAAGCAAGGCGGAGTCAACGGTGCCACTTGTGGAGCAGGGGTAGAAGAGTGGCCCAACACAGGTTGCACTCCACTGCACTCCCCGTGTTTATCCTTCCTCGGCTCTGGGAAGTGCCCCCTCTCAGACTGTTGCTTTTTGTGCTTCTTCCTTGGCACCAATGAAAGGGAAAGGTGTCGAGAAACCCATGCTGCCGAGTAGTATTCAGTGCCGAATCTGACCAGCTTTGCTCCAAAGCCCATCTGAGTGCAGCTTCCATCAGGATGGACCTTAGCCTAGCCTCCCTGTTCTTTTTCGTATGACATTTGAACTAGCAGCAGATCTGGCAACACTCTCACATATGAGCCTCCCCCAGACACTTCAGACAGCTGGAGTGCGGGTTGCTCACCAGAATGAGCTTGCCACAGAAGGCAAAGAGTTCGAAGCCGAGAGCATGCTGCTCAAAACAACTGGGGGGAGGGGGTCTAACAATATACACTACTACGAAAAAAATAAACTGAATCTAACTAAACTAGCAAAGAAAAGAGGAAATAACAGAACCACTAGATGAACGCCTTGCCAAAGCAAGAAGAGTTGTTCCAGCGACCATCACAGGCAGTAAGAAGGAACTGAGAGGGTGCGGGGTTACCCAAGCCCCTTATACCAATGCATGAGCACATGGCACCAGATAGCCAGCCTGATGGATACCACTGAGGTAAAAATCTCCAGTGACTGTGCACGCGGCACGCACACACCTAACATGGAATGGACATGAGCAAGCACTCGAAGAAGAAATATCCATTATAATTCAACACCAACTGATTATATAACCAGTTTTAAAACAGGCTCTGCACTAGGCAAGTCAGGTTAATTCTTATATCACCTTCTACTGGAACATGCATAAAATAATGAAAATGGCTTCACCAGCAAATGAGTAATAGGTAGTAAATATCCTGGGGCAAAACCTCAATGCAGATGTAGATCTTGTAAGCGCAAAGAATATAAAAATTACATCATTTCTTTTCCCAAAATTTCAACAGATTCTTTGAAGTGCTGTTCTCTATGTAAATTAGAACTATATCTTGGAGCCTAAATGTTGTTACCAGACATGACTGCTTAATGTCAATAATATAAACAAAGACTGGATCTGGTCATGGCAGTCTCCTAGGCTTGAACCAAGATATTTCACACACAACAGGATGACAGTGGACATCCAAACTTTTGGCTTGCTATGTCCATAGGCTATATTTGGAGTGTAGTGTCATCTTTTAGAATATTTTTATGAACCGCAATCCTCTTCACATATTAGTACGCCTTATGAAATGAGTCCCAATAAGCATTCCGGTCTCTTATCTTTCTGGAAGACTTAATTGCAAATGCTCCTCATAATGCCCAGATATGGAAATAATCATGAAAACAGTTTAAAAAAAAAATCAATGAAAATCTGTATCTACAGATCATTAAAAAAAAACAAAAGCTCTATGTTGGAGCTTGTGGTGTCTGCTGTGCAACTCATGGACTGCAGAAGAGTTCAACAGATTGTGGGAACAGCTGGATGTATTTCATATAGACAAAGAGAAGCTGAGGCATTTAAATCATCTCACAAAAATGATCGTAAATGGTAGAAAATATTTTATATCATGAGCCCTAAAGTAGCTAGTATGTTGTGCAGAAAGATATTGGGTGACAGTAAATCGCAGTGAACAACTAGTAATTGAAGATGTTACATAACAGCATAGGTTGGGAATTCATTCATCAACATATGGACTTTGTAGACTCAGAAAGAACAGTGAGTCTGTGAATTGATCAACCCTAAAACAAATGAGAACGACATTTATACACAACATATATAAACAAATTCTGTGGATACAAATGTAGGTAGAAAACATCAAGAATAATTCTTCTAACACATGATGGGACACCGAACATCCGGTCTTGTTACAAAACCTGTTTTCAGTCCCACAGCCTGGTCGATGCAAGTAGACCCTTGCATGGCTAAAATATCAAAGTACTTTTTCAAACTGGCCTAAAACATGAAATGTTCCCTCCTAGATACACAGTATGAAATCAGATCAGTGCATCAACTACATGCCATTAACCAAAAAAGTCCACCACCTAGGCTTGCACCTGAAAGTAGGCAGAATTAGAGCAGACTCAGATACGAACTCTGGTTTTCAAAAGCAGGTACTATGGACAGAAAGTGCACTCTATCCTGATTTTTAAAGACATTAACTGAACACTATACAACACATGTAGTAAGAGAGACAAAGCTTATGTCAATATCTAATATTTAAGAAATGGTTTCCAAAATCAGGCAAGAAAAGTCAGAGTTCTTAGAATGCCCACATGCATCCGACGAAGTGGGCATTCACCCACGAAAGATTATGCTCCAATACATCTGTTAGTCTTAAAGATGCCACAGGACTCTCTGTTGCAGAGTTCTTAGTGTTCATGATTCCAGATCTGCCTTTTCATCATTAACTGACAACTCCAGCACACTGTATGGTTGAAGTAATAAGGAGTTTATTTAAAGATTAGCTAAGACCATTGTTGTCTTTACTGCACTGAATTGAATGCTTACAAAACTAAGATAAATTGTATTAGGTAGAGCATAGCTTTTTGATGTCATCATTTGAAAAGCAAGTCCTTCTGAAGTGTCATTGTTCAGGAGAGAAGTACCACTTTACAAGGGTAAAAGACTAATGCATTAGCCTACTGCACCACATAGCCCTCCAGAACTATAACTTGAAAGGCTACATACTCAACTGATTTGTGTTTTGAAACAGTGTTTCAGTTTACCTGCACCTGTTTATTTTACTCTCTTCACATTTAGGGCTTTGTCAACTACATATTATTTTCAACACTTTCAACTTTTAACTTATTCCAATATCACCAGTGTTTTTCATCTGAAAGGCCCCTTCAAAGTTCCAGAAGACACTAAAATTAGAGTATTAGTAAAACAGGGCACCTTGTAAACAAGCAGATGAATAGACAGAAATATTGGTAGCTAAAATGACAGATATCCAGAACATCTCTCAATCCCTAGTAAAGCTAAACTCATGATTAAAATATTTATTATATTTAAATGTTCATGTACCTGGTCGCTTTGATCCCATTCTCCTTGTTGTTTGAGAGATGGGATTCCCCAGATGGTCAGTTTTCCTGAGAAGTGGATAGCTGCCAGAAGAGTTCCATCTGGAGAAAGGCTCATCTTGAAAACTCCATCCTGCCCAACCAATTTAATAAAGAGTGTAAAAAGAAAAGTAAGACTCTCAGTAAGAATAGGCTAAATTCAGTTCAGCAATACAGAGTAACTTTTCCCTTTATTTTAGGGCCACATTTTTTTATTTGTATGGGTGTTTTAAATTACAAATATCTAGCATACAGTAAAATTGAAATATATACTATATTTCATTTTTTAAATGTAAGTAAAAGAATATAAAAAGTTTAGTAATACATGTAGAAAGTATTCTACCTATCTGTATTACTGGACACCTTCATTTGTTAATTTCAGGACCAAAATGGTCCTTAAGATACAATAAATAAGATGTCAAAATATTGTAGTCTTTTGACTACAGTGAGCATGCAAGAGGGGGAAGAGACCGTTCTTTGATTGGTGTTTGGTGGATTAGAGCTAGGATAGGGTAGATTAAAAACTCTCTTTTTTTTCCCCAATCAAAATAATCTTATTTTATCAGATTTTTTAATTTAAATTAAATACACTTTTCTTTTAAAAAAACCTTTTTCAATATTAAATTTGAAATTATGACAGCCTATGTTAAAGCCTAAAAATCTACTATAATCTATTAAAATCATTTAAATTACATAAAAATAATAATATTCAAGCAGTACATGTTTGCTGCCGAAGTTAGAGCAAAGTTAAACCACTGAAATAGTGGGAAATCGCTGGCTAAGCACCCTGAACTAGAGAATTTGCTGAAGTGCTAAACCAGCTCTTGACAGCAGTAGCTTTTTCTGCAGGTACAGAGAGAATATTCTCTTCATTTCAGTTTATTCAACTAGTTCAGTTCAAGGACAAGTTAATTCAAAACTGAGAACCAATTAGGAGTTGAAAAAGAGGAAAGCTTGTTTTTCTCTTCCAAGTTATGAATAAAAATGAAGTATGAGAGAATGAGATCTTCCAGTTTTAAAAACTTGAAAGACATTGTTACCAAAAATCATCAATTCAATTCACTAACTACAACAGAGAACACTCCATTTGTTTAATAAATCAGTTAATTTTAAATACAAAACACATTTTGATAAACTTTTTTTTCCTTATGTATCCTGCACACTTAGGTGTTTTTAACTAAAAAAATTAAAATGCTGTTTTGGGGCATTTTTACTTGATTTCCATCCAAATGCAGCTTGACTAGTCACGACTAAAAAATTAATGTTAATCATCCTGTAAATAAGTAATGTGTCATTCACCATTTTCGAACATAAAACTATAAAAATTAAGGATGTGAATAAATATATGTTAAGCCATATAATTGCTTAAATAAATGTGTACAGATTAAACGGCAGAAAACTTCATTAAGATTGCCCAATTCATTAAGATTGCTCATGCCCTTCCAGAATATCAAGGTCAGCAAAACTCAAACTTTTCAAAATCAGAAAATACAGAGTTAAGGTAACACAACCCCTGAAGCTAGCAATGGTCACTGGGAATTATCTGCAGGCACTCCAGCTGCATTCACTGTGTTAAATGTAGTTGTATTGAATAGTGGAAGAATAAACTGGAACAGCTTGAAAGAGATGTGATTGGCATATGAAGAGATCTGGGGATCAGTTTGAGGAACATCTTGGAGATCTTAGGTGATCTGGGTCTGCAGCCCCAAAGGAAAGAAGTGCATGTGTACCATGAAGTTCCAGTCTGCATCCAGACTCTGCCAGTAGCAGGGAAGATTTGAAACAAACATAAGGAAGCACTTCTTCACACAACACACAGTCAACTTGTGAAACTCATTGCCAGGCATTTTGTGAAGGCCAAAACTGTAACTGGGTTCACAAAAGAATTAGATAAAGTCATGGAGGTCCATCAACGACTATTAGCCAGGGACACAACTCTATGGTCCAGGTGTCCCTAAGCCTCTGACTGCCAGAAGCTGGGAGTGGATGTCAGGGGATGGATCACTCGATAAAATGCCGTTCTGTTCTCTTCATCTGCAGAATCTGGCACCAGCCACTGTGGGCTACAAGGACCATTGGTGTGACCAAGTAAGGCCATTCTTAAAATCATGCTTACGGCAGAAATTGTCTTTCATAACCTTAAACTATGGACATGACTGGCTACATACGATCGAAATTTTAAGTCTAGTTTCTAAAGATGGTCAAGAAGCTATAATTTTGAAATTTCATATGCAAAAAAGTTTCCTTTCATTTTAGACTAGCTTCCATCTTATCTCAAACTATTTAAAATTTACATTTTGTCCACTTAGACAATGAAAACTGGCTTATCGGTTTTACTTTCCGTTCTTATACATTATGTGTTTGGCTTGCAAATACTGAATAGGATTCTTTAAACCTAAAATGATAGCAAGCTTTTGTTAAAAGTGATAACAAACAACAACCATCTAAAATTTTGTACCTAAACTACCTGATGGTGTCTGATTAAATAGTAGATTTCCACTCTTACGAAACAATTGGCATGAGAGTAGTAATATTACTGCCTGGTGCTTTCTATTTCCCTTTGCTGAAAGTTGCAAAGCTATGAAATGCACTCTCCTTTTTAGTTTATAAATCAAGATTTGTTCACAGAAGAGAAAGATGGTTATGAAACTGCATGGAACTGTAAAATAAAAAACCCTACCCGCTAGGCTGAGAGCCTTTCTTGTATGTCATCATGACCGAACATTAAGAGAGGCCTCTCTGAAAGTCAATACATAACTCAGCAATCAGTGCAACTGCTGCTCTTTTGGATGGCCATCATACACATCACACACCTCCAAATCTAGCCTCTCAAAAGATTAATGTATCCTTAGGCAAGGCAGGTTCTGCTACCCCAGTAAACATTTCACTACTCTTAGGGCAACTTCAGAACAAAATATAGAAAGCTCCAGTAGGCTGGCATACCACATTTAAGATTTGTCATCTAAGTTGAGAACAGGCAAGTCCTTGCTGAGCCTTGACAACAGTATTAAATAGCTTTTTCTATCCCCCATAAATCACAATAAAATTATACCTCAGGTATTTAAGATACAATCCCTGAAATGGTATTAACACTTTTGAAGATGAGTGAACAACAATTGTAACCTTTACTCTTTTAAAATTTAGTGCTGGCAAGAGCAGTAAAATTAAAGTTTTGTTCAATTCAATACTAGTCTTTCAATAAAAACTTACTTGAGCTTCTTTTATATATATAAAATCTACTTCTGTTTCATAATTTTCCATTCCTTAATTTAAAGGCTGAAATACCAGCCCAGGAAATGCTGCTATTCAGGGGTCAGTATTAACTTGCCAACTCCCAGACAAGGGGAAAGTGCTAGGAAGCAGCCAAGCATTTCTTTCCTCAGGGCAGACAAACACCTTTCCATCCTCTTGCAAGCCCTTTCAGCCAATCTGACTGTGACAATGACTGACCAGCTAAGCTTCAGGTGTTGGCCAGAGAAAATTCCATGAAGAAGCATTTAAAAGATGGGGGGGGGGGGCGGAAGCTTAAGATGAATGTAAATATAGGACCATCTTAAATTGATAACAATCAAGTTACCTAGGGGAGAAATTAATAAGGTGGACTAGAATGTCTACCTTTTCGGTGCCCTACCATGTAATGGAATTCATAACCCCTGAGTAAGGTGCCCAGATATGGGGACAGTTAGGCACTTAAGAATGGTATTCACAAAAGCCACCATGCTAGGCAGAGAGCCACCTAAGCTAGCCAATAAGAGATGCCAAGGAGGGAATAGCCTAAATCCTGCCCTTCAAAGGGACTTAGGCACTTAAGTCCAGGCCAAAAGAAAGCACCTTTCTATACTCAGGATTCACAGCCATAAACCCTCTACTGGAGGTGCCTAAGGCAGATTAGTGTTTTTTTCACACAAAAAAAGGATGTGGAAGGTTCAAATCCCTCCTCTGCCTGATGTGGAGAAGGGACTTGAGTCTCCAACCACCCTAGTAAGCATCACTGGGATATGGAGTCACTCTTAAATATTCATTAGGCTAGAAAGAGTATGTATTTATAGACAGAGAGGCCTGCTCCTAAATATCGTATGACCCAGTTGGAGAGGTTACAAGAACTTTGAAGGACAGGATTAGAATTTGAAATGATCTTGATAAATTAGAGAATGTTTGAAATCAACAAGACGAAATATAATAAAGACAAATGAAAACTACTACACTTAGGAAGAAAACAATTGAATGCATAAATAAAAAATGCAGAATAACTGATTAGGCAGCAGTACTGCTGAAAAGGATCTCGGAGTTATAGGGGATCATAAATTGAATATGAGTCAATGTGATACTGTTGCTAAAAAGGCAAATATTATTATGGAATGTGTTAACAGGGATGCTGGATGTAAGACAGATAAAGTAATTGTTTCACTCTACTCAGCACTGGTGAGGCCTCAGGTGAAGTACTGTGCCCAGTTTAAGCACATTTAAGAAAAATGTGGACAAATTGGAAAGAGTCCAGAGAAAAGGAACAAAAAAGGCATGCAATTTGAAAAACATGACCTGTGAGGAAAAAAGGGGCATATTTAGTCTAGAGAAAAGTAGTATTGCAATATTTTAAGGGTTGTTATAAAAAGGACAGAAACTGATTGTTCTCCATGTCCACTGAGGGTAGGACAAGAAGTAATTGGCTTAATCTGCAGCAAGGGAGATTTAAGTTTGATATCAGAATAACTGTCCTTTATAGTTAGAAAGTGTAAGTACTGGAAAAGACAGTTACCTTTTTTCGTAACTCGTGTTCTTAGGAGATGTGTTGCTCATATCCATTCCATTGTAGGTGTGTGTGTGCTCGCCACATGCACCGGTGCCCTCAATGGTATCCGTAGGGAACCGGCCCTGGCACCCTCTGGAGTGGCATGTGTATGCCAGAGTATAAGGGGAGCTGCCAGCTCCCCTCATTCCCAGTTCCTTCTTGCCAGAAACTCCGACAGTGGGGAAGGAGGGTGGGTCATGGAATGGACATTAGCAACACATCTCTATTGTAGATGACTCCCAGGCGGTACAGTTCAACATACAGGATGTGGACTGTAGGTTCCTTGCGTTACAGCCAAAAATACTCTAGTACAAATCTATAAATCTATTATAATAAAACAAACAATCAAACCCATAAGAAAAGATATATAAGCGAGTAAGCAGGCTAGCCCTAGGGGCTACAATCACATCCCCTCTTAGGCCAGGTCTACACTAACCCCCTAATTCGAACTAAGGTACGCAACTTCAGCTACGTGAATAACGTAGCTGAAGTTCGAAGTACCTTAGTTCGAACTTACCTTGGTCCACACGCGGCAGGCAGGCTCCCCCGTCGACTCCGCGGTACTCCTCTCGCCGAGCTGGAGTACCGCAGTCGACGGCGAGCACTTCCGGGTTCGACTTATCGCGTCCAGACAAGACGCGATAAGTCAAACCCGGAAGTTCGATCGCTCGCCGCCGAACTACCGGGTAAGTGTAACCCAGACCTTAGTTGTCTCTTTTCCAAGCTGAGAAGTCCCAGTCTTATTAATCATTCTGTTCCATACCCCTAATCATTTTTGTTGCCATTTCTGAACCTTTTCCAATTCCAATATATGTTTTTTGAGATGGGGAGACCACATCTGCATGCAATATTCAAGATGTGGGCATACCCTGGAGTTATATAGAGGCAATATGATATTTTCGGTCTTATTATCTTTCCCTTTCTTAATGATTCCCAACATTCTGTTAACTTTTCTACTGCCGCTGCACATTGAGTGGATGTTTCCAGAGAACTATCCACAATGACTCCAAGATCTCTTTCTTGAGTGTTAACAGCTAATTTAGACCTCATCATTTTATATGTATAGTTGGGACTATGTTTTCCAATGTGCATTACTTTGCATTTATCAACATTGAATTTCATCTGCCATTTTTTTGCGATCCTTTTGTAGCTCTTCGCAGTCTGCTTGGGACTTACACATTGCACATATCAGCAAAGACTTTCTGCACCTGCCACCTTGGGTAACAAGTTTCACTTAGGATAAAGCAGTAAATCACTGGATCTGTTTCAGTCATAAAATATACTGAAAGTCATCAGGTCTCTATGAGCAGGACTGATGACGCCAGGTAATATATGAAACGAGTAAATAAAGTGAAGTGAAACCAAATCAGTGACAGAGCAACAGTCTGCCAACAAAACAAAGTCCCCAAGAAAGCAATTTGATAACTCATGCCAGTTAACTGATTTAAAGCTAAATACTACTATTGCATTAGAGAGTGTTTTCAGCAAAGAATTCTAAACAGGTTAATTTTTAATCTATCTAAATTAAGTTAACTTCAAGTCAATTCGATTCCTCGTTCATGTAAACCCAAGTGAATCTAGTGTTAAGGAGGAACGTATTACCTGTTCTGTTCTTTGTTTGCTGTAAAATCTGAAATTCATAATCCTTAATAATCCACTTCTCTTTGCCTGTTAAAACAGGAGTGTATCACACACTTTAAGATTAAAGACAGTCTTTGATTTATGCAGTAAAAATTAAATCGAATCCAGTGAGTAATGAAACAATCAAGAAAGAATACATTATTTTGCAACATTCTCTCAGCTTTATGAAAATTTTAAAATATTCATAAGAATTATTTTAATATTCATGTATTAAAATATCACTTCATGTAAATGTTGCAACAGGTTAAATTTGCTTATTAATTACTTGGACTATGTATGAGTGTTTCCATGAAAAAGCACCACCAGCTTGCCACTAAATTATGCCATGCTAGAACATTTAATACATATTGCCAAGTATACACATTAGAACTTTTCCCATTCTAAAATGTAAATTGGTTTACTGTATTAAGCTAAATTGCTACAAGCTAATTAAGAAATTAATTTCAGTGTACCCATGTAGAGCACATCAATATAACTACAGCGAGTTTTATTATGCCAGTGCAAGTTTTGTGTATGCTACAGCCCTAAAAAGAGGGTTACAATTAGGCTTATTTCAAACTGGGCTATAAAAGGCTAAAATATTTTCAAAATATACAGGTGAAAAATAACCTGATCCATGACTGGGCTCCTAACTGCTCTGCAATACCAGTAATAAATAGTTTTAAGATAACAAATGAAAGCTTTGATGAGACAATTTTTTATAAAACCATGTTGACATTAATTATATTCCTGCCTTTTAATTCTTTATCAACTGAATCCTGTGTCAGCTTTTCCATTATTTGCTTGGGATTGATTACAGGCTGACCAGCCTACAGTTGACCAACTCATCCTGATTGAATACTGGCACAACAGTATCTCAAATACGGAAAAATGCTATGGTTCGGGAAAAGAGAGCAAGCTACATAAAGTTTCTCTTTATGTAACCAGTGTAACTATAATATTCTTCCAACAGCAAAATGAGGACTCCAAAGCTACTTACTGTCCCAGTATCATCTTCATAACTAGTGACTTGTTTATAATGGGGGAATCCGGAAAGAACTCTCCAAGCAGATATTCCACGACTAGTTGCTTTAGATACTCCATCTTCATCTGTTTCACAGCCACCCACAAGCAAAAGCCTATAAACACAAATACTTTTATTATTGAATGCAGGTTTTGGTTTTGGTTTGCCTACTGCAGGAGTCCAAATATATATTTCGTAATTCCATTAAACAGGAGCATAATAGCTTTACCTGAAATGAATAAAACCATGCATTAAAATAGCATCGAAAAGCCCCAACTAAGGTTAATCCTACACTACACAGTTAACCTGGGATCTTTTACCCAGGTTTTAGCCTTAACCTTCCCCTACCATGCACACAAAAAAACAAAGTCTGACTTGGGTTTGGAGGCACTTTAAAACAGGGCCAGCTTACTTGGCTGGGGGTAAGGGTTAGAATCTAGGTTTCACTTTAACTCTGGATGGAACCCGCTCATTTTGCAGTAATGACACAAGCTAAATCACATGAGTGAAGTGAGGACCCAAGCAAAATCACTCAAGTGCTGGTAGTCCTCCTACCCCCAATTCCCTAATTCAAGTGTCCGCCCCCCTATTCCCCCCAAAGGACCAACAAGTTCTCCCTCGATTGATAGGGAAAAAATCTAAAGCATCTCATCACAAAGAGCCATGGGATATGGACGCTGTGTAGGCCTGAGACCTCATCAACCCCCTCCCTCCTCCCATATTAAACAAGCCTTGGATGAAACTCAGGGAGTTCACCACTAAAATTGTAAAAAGGAACATTCTGCTGTTGATAAAGCACCCCCCGTCAGGAATGTCCCTAACAAGAGTTATAACCACCAAGGTTGTAAAGACGCTGGGAAATTAGGGAGGATACATAAAGAGACTCAACAAATGGTAAATGCTCTGACCAGCATTTAATGCTGACCATCTGTACAAATAGAGAAGGCCACAATTAAGTTACAATTTGGGTATGGAAGATAAAATGTAAAGAACTTGGGCAGGAAGGAGGACGCACAGGTGCCAGTGCCTAACTGGTTAAAATTTTGTTATTTTCAAGTGTGGGATAATGTGACAGGTTTAGTAAATTTGAAGGAGGTAGCTAATTTTACCTATATAATGTAAATGAAAAACAATACTCTTTGGGAAGCATTTCCGGACTGCAGTTCAACATCAAGCTGATGGAATTCTGACCCCTTTGCATGACCGTGACGTGCAGCAGCATCGCCAGGAACCCCCAGATGAATGAATCCTGACTGGCCCTGGGTGAAATCTGTCTGTATATTGGGAGTGGTGAGCATAAGAGATTTGCTTGGTATATATATTGTGTGTGTGTTGCTAATACATAGCTGTTTAGAGCACTGGTAAAAGGTTCTGCAGACCAGTAAAGCCCTGAGCCCCAAGGGAAAGCGCGAGTACTTAAATTGACCACGTTTCTTCCGGAGCCCCGTGGATAAGGATAGGTGCCTTACACCCTGAGCCCTTGGAAAGGACAGGGTGGGGGGTGCCTAAATTGATTGGGTCACGCCTTGAGCCCTCGGTAGGGTATAGGCGGGGTGCCCTAAACTGAGCGGGTAACACCAGGCACACAGGCAAGTGCAGAAACCATGAGGACGCAATAACAGGTAAGGCTATACAGCTGGGACACTCCCACCCAGGCTGAGTAAACCGAGGTGCCAATCACGGAGGTTATCTGTGCAGTGTAGACATAGCCTAAGACTGGAATCCCACTGTGTTTGGTGCTGTATCTAGAAGCAGGAAGAAATGGTCATTTCCCCAAAGAGTTTGCAATCTAAATAGACAAAACAGACAGATTCAGAAAAAGGAAGTATTACTATATTATCCGCATTTTACAGAAAGGAAATGGAAAGACAGATATTGTCTTAAGCATGTGCTTAACTTTAAGTTATGATTATTCTCATTTAATTCAAGGAAGTCTTTGCAGGAACAGGGCCTAGTTGATTTCTTCTATTTCTCAGAAAATATGCTGCAGAGTTGGGCATTGCCACCACGTCCCAACTCTCAGCCCAACTTACACCCACAAAACCATCTTTTCCTCTCTGTGCTAAATCAACTTCATCCTTGATATATCTCAAATGAGGTCAATCAAGCCCAACAAAGATGAACTGGGCCCAATGTATGAGTTACATTTTTCCCATCTCTGCGTTCCAAATAAGATATGCTAATATATAGGTAAATTATATTTTTCCCCAAAAAGTTAAAAAAACTAAACACATTCAACGACTTGAGATTCTTTAACAAGAACAAAAATATACTCAAAATATGTTGCTGGAACAAACATCAGCAAAAAGAGTTTACATCATCCTACTATTTTAACATTTAGTTGCTTATTTATAAATAAAAATATAAAACACAAAACAGAAGGACAAAACAGCTTATTCTATCAACAACTACCTATACTAAGCATAGATAAAATTGCATCTTAGTATATAGCGGTATAACCTACACGTCACTGCATGTATATCAGTTAGTAATATTGTTAATTACACACAGTAGAAAACATGATGAGATATGAAAAACACCATTTTAAAACACTATAAAACATACAACTAGTGCTGATTACTACTAAAAGAAAAAAAATCAACACTTTTTCCTTTAAGCCCCTATGATTACTGTTAAACAAGCAGTTTCGGTTTTTTAGAAACTAGTAATTACTTTGAAAAAAAATGTTTAGAACATAGCCCTATGCTAGTCTTTTTTATTGTGCATATTACTTTTGAAAAACAAGCTGTCAAAGTAAAAATATTTGTACAGAAGGAACAAACAATCTGGGAAAGAAATGAGTAAAGAAATTAACAAGCTGGGTAACAATTGTGTATCCTCAATGTTCAAGATGTGTTACTGTTGAAAGATTCTGCCACCTAGTGGTTGAGATGTATATAAAGCTTGTTCATGGTTAAAATGCATTCCCAGATAGGTGATTTACTAAAATAGAAAAACTAAAAATCAGGGTTGCATCTAGCAACATGGAACCACCCTGGATAATGCTCAACTTTGCTTGGATAGTTCAAAATAATATTTAAAAGTGAAATGTTCTGCTTAAATTGAATGTGATCCAAGGGATGTTCTTATTAATTGTAAAAACTTAAAAATATCATCTCATTTAATTTGGGCTAATCAGCATAAACTGAGTAATATTTGATTACAGAAGAGAAAGAGCATCTTTTCACTTTTATTTCTATCTACTAGCCTAACTGAAACCTCTCACTGATTCAGCACCATGATAATCCTATACAGCACTGAAATGGAATGTGACCGAGTGGCTGCTCGGGATGTTAAACTTCTTTTTTTAAAATATATATTCATATCTAATTATAGACCCATTCATTTCATGGATAAACTATACTTCTGTTTCACATGCTATTACAGCAAGAATCTAAGTACAATGGATGCCCTGTCCCTCCTTTCCTACTGTGAGGAGCCTGGAATAAATACAATTATAGACATATTTTATATTGCAAAAATATGCAGGTAGTAGTAATTTTTAATGGTGAATATTTGTTTATTGCTGTATTGTGCTGCTTCTTTTTTTGCCAATAGTCATGTCAATTATGGAACTAAAGAAATGAGAGCTGCCTCATTAAAAACAGAATGGGGCACTTGAAGTGGACCTTTGCTTGGACCTGTGAGTATGTGAATGTGTGCATGTGTACTGAGAGGAACACATACTGTTGAGAATGGGAAGCCCCAACTTATATACATTTCCCAAAAGAGTCTAAGAATTCAGGTCATAATAAAAGTCACCCTTCATGAATCTGAAATCTCATCACTGAAGGGATAATTCTCTTCCTTACATTATATACTTTATTTTCTACCTTGCTGTGCTTTGAGAGGCTTTAGTAGTTGGGCTAACAGTGAAATTATTCAAACATTTTGTCTATATTTGTACATTCACCTCTACCCCAATATAACACTGTCCTCGGGAGCCAAAAAAATCTTACTGCGTTATAGGTGAAACCACCTTGCTTTGATCCGCCAGAGCACGCAGCGCCCCCTCCCCCCCGGAGCGCTGCTTTACTGCGTTATATCCGAATTCATGTTATATTGGGTAGCGTTATATCGGGGTAGAGGTGTATTTTAGGAGTTTACCGCCTAAATAAAAGTTTAATATAAATGCAAGTAAAAAAACACTTTGAACATGAAGTATTTTTATTTGTAAAATGAGCGCCAGTATGTCATAGGGCATTTATACAACATGCAACAGAAACATAATATTTAACCATTTTTGCCTCTTTCCAAGAAGCAACTAGAAGGTACATTCTTCTCCCCACCAACACAAGTACTGGTTTAAATGGTGAAGGAAACAGAAGGACCTTGCACTGTGCCCTGAAGTCAGCTTCTCGCTGTGTCAGACCAATGGGGAAAGCATGCTACAGAGTCATTAACCCTCATTTGAGGATGCCCTGCCACAATCGCTTTAACTTTTACACACAGAGCCTGTTAGCTTGAGCAGTTCAAATGACCTCCATTGCTGCAGCAGCTCATAGGGTGAAACACAGTTTTTCAGAAAGCCAACACCAAGTCACATGTAATAATGTAGGGCCCTCTCCACCTCCAAATAACCCATTGCAAAATCTTCCTTTGAATTCCATAGGACTTTGATCAAGCCATTTTAAATAAAAAAAAGCAACACCCTGAACAGCACTTGGAATCAAATGAAGCTCCTGGATAACTACATTATCTCTGACTACTACATCCACAAAAATGAGTCAGAAGAGAAAGAAAGAAAAAGGAAATCCCACTAAAGTTTGCTAGTGTACAATGTTCTTATAACAGGGTTGTTGTAGTTTTTGTTTTGTTTTTTGTTTTTTACGATTTGGATGGGGTTATTTTTGGTGCTTTTGAGGGCTTTGGGGAGGAGGTTGAATGCAATATCCTAGTTTCTTTAAAGAAAAATGTAAGCACAAATTCTATTGTGTACTACTGCAATGATCTTCCCCATCATGGATCATGAGCAGAATCGTGAACAAAGTTAGCTAACGGTGGAGTTTCAGAGAGAATATCTCCAGCTAGACTCAGTGCTTGGACGCAACAAGACTTGGAGAGTGGTGTATTTGGTTCATCTGTGGGTTGTCTGACTGTTCTCTATATATAGGG